ATTTCATTGAATATTCCGTTGTGAATGTTCCATTGTGTTTCTTTTCCTATATACAGTGACTCATATTTCACTGTCAGATAATTCCTGCAACCAAGATTGAAGCAACTCTGCCATTTGTTACAATAAGCTCAAATCATGCAGTTCACTTTGTGTTGTTAAATAGTTTCTTTCTAGACGAATTTTGTTGGGTATTTAAACTTACAACTGGACAAACTGGCAACGGGTCATTATTCGTACGTAGAACTGGCTTGGACACTGATGATACATCATGATATTTGTATTGTGCTAGTATTCTTGTACTAATACCGACGACATTCATCAAGCAAAAGTAGCAATCATCTACATGATTTTTATTCCTCTCCATAGCAATAACAAGCAAACACTTGTATAGCTTTGTTCTGGATGCATTACAAAATGGTACTAGTGATGCAAGTATGATAATTTTGTCACTTTTAACGCATATTAAAAGCAGGCATCTTTTAAACAAAATCACAACGTTTTGAATACAATTGACGTGGCATCTGGTGCCCTAAATAGTTTTTTTATTGAAGATTTTATAAAATTATCACCGCTTTTTCTAAATTCATCTTTATTTTTTAGCAGACTTGTTTCTGTTCGCATAAAGTATACACTCAAGTATAAACTCACAAGGAATCTTAAGAATACTGAGCTTTTTGAGAATAGAAATTTACAGTCATCCTTGTAAGCCACATTGCCCAGGATAGGAACAGCACGTCCGTGCAGTTTGTAAATATGTGTGCTTTCTTGTGAACAGTACGACGAGACAGTTTATCACATCTTGTATAACTGCTCTGCCCTCAAGGACCTCAGATTAAGAGTATTCGGGGAAGAATGCCCTACTACGGATGGCGTCAGAGACACAACTCTGAGCAGTATCCTAGCCTTTGGTAACTCTTTAGGATGGTCTATATAATAATATATAATATAATATATATAATATTGTCTCTCAAAATTATTGTTGTTTTAATGATTAATTTTTTGTTCTTTCGGATGATCTTCCTATGGCGATGCCATTATTGGGACTGCTTGCGAAGATGTTTTTGGATGACATCGAAAACAAATATATTATCAACTCTGTCAATCCTTTTTCTGAACATATTGTTGCTTGGTATAGATACGCGGATGATGTATTCTGTATATAGAGTGGTGATTTTAATAATCTTAATGATTTTCATAATTTTATTAATAGCTTACATGATAAACTTAAGTACACTTCTGAAAATTGAAAAGGATAAAATGATAAACTTTTTGGATTTAACTAGAAACGATAAAGATTTCATCGATTACGATATTTATAGAATACCGTCCACTATAGCAACTACTATACCTTATTCTTTACATCCATATTATATCTGATTATAATAAAATTAAAGAAACTAATTTCATCTTACTCGCTCGCGACAATGGCTTCCCGATTTATAAGGTTGAACAACTTTTTAATAAAATACGAATCCTAAAAGACCCTTTACTTACTAGAGACAAAATTAATAATACCATTTACAAACCTTTACTATTTAACAGTCCAAATTTATTCTACTACCAAATTTCAACAAGCCTTTTCAAAATATAACATTAATATTCTTTTTCTAATCGTAATACTATTTTGAATCTATTAACTAATCACACAAAGAAAATTTTTAATGAGCTGGAAGAAAGTGGAGTGTATTCGGTCAAATGTTCTAATTGTAAAAGCATATACAGGGGTGGTCCATTTAACGTGAGACAAGTGGTTATCTATGTGGGTTCGTGCTCACTTTTATTCTAAATCTAGGGGTTATGTTTTTATTTATTCACCAAAACATCGGAATTGTAACTTAAGTTTTATTTAATAGTTTAACAAAATAAGAGTATTATTTGATTTCACTATACTGGTCACCGTTTTGATCGAATCTACAATAGAAAACAGTTTTTACTTTCGCGTTTTAATTCTTCGCCCGTCGTTGATCTTACAGATCTTTTGCGTAACAGTGCTTTTTTACTACTAACTTCCCGCCTAGGAAAGTCGGTTGTGTAGTAGTTCTTAGAAGGTCTGTAGAAGTTCTGTAGTTCTGTAGGTTCAAACCGGTGCAGAAGTTTATAGCAAGAACTTCTGCTTGCAAAATTGTTATGTCCGAACTGACAATGAGTGCCAGTTTATGTGGCTATTTGATCCACTGATGCCCATACCTACTCCGAATCTAACTGTCTTTGAAGCATCGGTGTACCAGGCTAGGGCTCCTCTTTTTAGTTGAGGCCCTCCCTTCGCCCAATCATCCCTGCTTCTAAATACGGCTGGTTGAAATTGTATTCTGTCGGTATAAGGTTTGTTTTAATTTCAATCAAGTGATTTAGACATGGGTCCTTGAGGATTTCGAGGTGCCCTCTGAGGTTGCCCTGCATGGACTTGAGTGAAGAAACTATTTTCAGTGATAAGGCACTTGAAGCTGCCTCCTTTTGTATATATAAATGGAGCGGTGTGAGACCGAGTACCAAACCAATGAGGCGTAGGCGACCATGGGTCTGATTATTGCTACGTAGGCCCAATGAGCCATTCGTGGTTTGAGACCCCAGTTCCTTCTTAGGAGTAAGCGGTAGATCTGGTTTGCCATGATGGACTTTTCGGTCACCTTATCTAAGTGTGAGTTCCAGGTTAGTTTACTGTCTAGTATTACCCCTAGGTATTTAACGTCTGTTTTGAGGTTGATAGTTCTGCTTTCAATCGAGGGTGCTTTTATTTGTAGCTTCCTTCTTTAAGTGAAAGGGACCATTTCGATTTTATTTGGATTGATGCTGAGCCCATTGCTTCTACACCAAGTACTGGTGAGGAGTAGGGCTTTCTGCATTAGTTGAGTTATGATTGTATCATATTTACCTCGGATTGTGATTACCAGGTCATCAGCATATCCCTGAATCTTGAATCCGTTTTTTGTTAGGGTGTTCATCAAGTAATCAACTACCAGGCACCATAGTAGAGGTGACAGCACTCCCCCTTGGGGACATCCTCTTAGCACCTTTATACTCAGCGACTCACCTCCCAGACTGGCTGCGATCTGCCGACTTTTCAACATGGCGATACACCATTTGATTATCGGCGGATGTATATCTTTTACGTTTAAAGCCTTCTGTATGGATTCATAGGAGATGTTATCAAACGCACCCTCTATGTCTATGAAAGCGCATAGGGCTATCTCTTTGGTTGCAATTGCCTCCTCTAAAGTGCTAGTGAAAACAAGGAGAGCAGTTGATTTTGCTTTCTGGTAAGCATGTTGGCTAGGGAGGAGTGGATTAATGAAAAGCACTCAATTCCTAAGGTATTGATCGATTACCTTTTCCATCCCGTTACTTCAGGGTCGGCATCTGCGTGGGGGCAGACCTTTGAGGAAGGGAAGTGTGTACTCAGTAGGAGCTCCAACGATTCCTGCGCATCCTCAGTGTATTTACAGTGTTGTGATCTTTTGCCAAGATCTTATGCAGACGAGCAACTGTAGGCGAATTGTGTATGCCTTCAGAGAAGCTATGCCAGGTTTTTCTTTTGGCTTGACGGATAGCCAAGTTATATTCCGTTAGCGCTTTTTTATAGAGGTCCCATGTTTCCTCGAGTTTGGAATGCCTGACTTTATTATATAGTCTTCTAACCATGATGTTTGCACATTGCATTGTGCTCTTTTGTGTTTTATTGGACAGCTTGATTCATATGCACTATGTATGATTGTTTAGTTGAAAAGAGGCTATTTCAAGATCCTCTCTGCTTTCAATATTTGTTTTGATTTCATCGACCTCTTCGCTGATGTGTCTACAAAAAGAGCACCAATCAGTGAGTGAAGGGATTCTGAATTCTGTTTGTTTTGGTGATTTCGCGTGAAACATGCTAGTTTGCGATTTGCGAACTGAGACGAGACGTAGCTAGGTTCGTTACCTCTGTTGAGGATATCTAAATTTGTACTTGTTAAGTATTGGTAAAGGTCCTTTTGTTTGTGTCTGAGCTGTTCTATGAGAGATGGTGTGCGTTCGCATTGCAGCCCAGGAGGAGCTGTTTCCCCCTTTTATTGCAGTGGTCTATGAGGTCTTTCACCTCCTTTGGCGGTGGATCGTCCGATTCACCGGGGAAGTATGCCGAGGCTATAATCGCCTCTTGCTTACCTCCCGGCGTCGGCAGTATCGCTGACATTGCAACCAGGTGCCTAGAGATAAACTGGGTTAAAGGTAGGCAGTTTATGGAGGATTTAGCCAGAATCGTTGCTCTCGCAGGGCACTCTCCTCTGTGAGAGCCTTTGACCAGCACGTCGGAGGCGCTTTTACAGTGCTGGATGTTGACCTGGATGAAGCCTACTACCGCCATTGTTGTTTGGCGTGTGTAATTTTGGGTGCGGCAGTTTTGCTCTTACCGTTTCTTTCGGAGCTTGCCTTACTTGTACCCTTCTTGGGGTCCTTGGCGGTTCCGGAAGTTCCTGGCGTTGGTTCAGATTCTAGTTTTGTGGCTTAGGCTTGCCGCTCTTTTGCCTCAGGGTGATTTGCCCGAACTTGTAGCTAACCTTGTAGTTAGCTTTTTTAAGGCTCTCTACAGAGGGATAATCAACGGACAATGTGATAGTCGCTCTGGATAGCTCCTTTTCATCGATAGCCATTAGGGATGCCCCCTTTTAAGACCTAACAATATTCAGTACTGAGACTCGGCTATGCCTCGTTGACTTTGAAGTCGAGCAGCAATGCCTATTTTTACCGCTAATAGTCCTCTGTGGCAAGGCTAGTGTCTATTAGAAGCCAATGAAGAAGCTGATTGTTATCCTTATCTATAAAAGTTTCTTCTATGTCGCTCTGTAAGGTATCTTCACTTTCGTGGTCTTCTACTTCACTAAGTAAGCTCGTAATCACTATTTTAAAGAGCGACCCATTATAACGTTTTTGAAAAAACAATAGTTATCTATTTAGGTTGAAATTGTAAGTCACTTAAAAGATAATCATATTGACGTCATTATTGATTCCACAAAACACATATCAGCATGTATTTTATTTATTGTTAACAATTATTTACAGCCTTATGTACAATTAAAACTAAATAAAATAATTACATAAATAATACATGATTATGCACAGATAAGTACTAGGATAAGTCAATTTTTTAAAACCTACAAATTAACTAATATACACATCTAATTACATTATTAACAAAATTTTACATTTTAAGCTCCACAGAAGCTAATTTTTCAATTTACGCATCGTCCTTTTCTTTAAGAAAACCCTTATTTTCAATTCCTGATTTATCCGGTAATTGGTCTGCGCTGCTTACTTCGCTATCACTTTCTTCTTTAACTACGTATTTATATCTCATTGCCATTAACGCAAAAATGAACATATCAACAATCATCAAACCAGCGTAAAGGAAAAAGTTTAAAGACTAAAAGTTGAATAAAAATGTATGAATTTTTTTAACAAAAAATATTTAACTTTTATAAATACCTCTTCATCAAAAGGATGTACAGATTCGATAATAATCACAATCAAATTGCCCACTGCTGTTGTAAGTAACCAGCAAGCTTGTAATACTGACTTCATGCTCGTTGGAGCTTGCGAATATGAAAATTCCAAACCAGTGATTGAGAACATAATTTCTCCCATTGTTATTATTACGTATTGAGGAATTAGAAGTAACATATGGATTGAATTTGGATCGGTAACCGTAACTTCTGCTGCTTCCTATTGTAAATAATGATAATTTTAATCCAATTTTATTGAGAAAAAATGATTGATAAGTGATTTATTTTAGTTTTGAATAAATTAAATAAAGACTAAAATTCACAAACTTACAAAGATTCCGTTTGTATTTTCACGTACTAATACAGCGTAAACACCACCCAATTTAAGTGTTATGTCGATTTTTGTGTCACCAATTTCTATCTGGTAGTCGTCAGGTTTTAACTCAAAGAAATTTGGATCTGATGCGTTAGTTGCTGCCATAATGTTTCCTTTGCTATTGAGATATGTTACGTTTATAACACCCAAATTACTTCCACTAATTAATGATCTATAAGGATTAAAAATAGCATATTTAGTACAGCAATAGAATAAACAACGATTCGAGTTCTTCTAGTTTTTTAACAGTAACAATATAATTTACATCTTTATTTATTTTAAATTCTACTACCAACATACCTTACTTTTGGATATCCATTATTATCATCTTTTTCGCTACTATCCAAAAATTGTTCCATGGTAACTATATTATCACTATTAATAAAATAATAGCCAAATGCTTTATTTAATTCAGCAGTTGCTACACAACCATCACATTTCAAATTTGCACAAGTGAAGTCGACGGTTGCCGTCCATTCATTGCTGTCAATATCAATATTCTCATAAAATAAGTTCTTTTCAATAATTGATTCTGTATTATCATGTATAATCTTTATTGGACAATCCATGTTATTATAAATCCTAACGTGAGCTTCTGTTGGCGAAGGTTGTCTGGGCATACTCGCTTCCAAAGCTAAAGAAATGCAGGCGGAAATAATAAAGGCAAGAGCTGCAAGTAATCCTCCCGTAACTAATCGTTTTAACGGGGTTTGTAAAATGTGTAATTTGTCCATAAGTGGATAAACTCCGTATTGAAAAATGGGAATGAAGAGTAAAATTAGAAGTGGATTGACGACTTGCATTTGATCTGGAAGGATCGTGTAAAATCCAACGTCTCCATTCATTATCCTAGCTTGGAAAGTCCAACCGGTTCCTTGTTGATCGAAAAGTGCCCAAAAAACTGGGAGTGGAATGTATAAAAGGAGGACTTTTAATAGGGCTTTTACATCAGAAACGAGTTTATCACCGTGTTCTTCTTTAGCATGATCTAACCAATGTTCAGCTTTTTCTTTTGATTTCCATTTCTTTTTAATGGCAGTCTTAAATTAAAAGAAATGATGTGATACAAAATATAATTATTTTCTTGATACTTACAGAAATACATTTACTGACTCTGATCACCATATTGCCTTCAGGTTTTCTAATTGTATACAATGGTTTTCCCAGAACAAAAATAACTAAAAGAAAATTAAAAATAAGCAAATTGAAAATTAATATATCATCTTATATTTACCAATAGATACTATCATTAAAACTCCAGGAACGCCAAAGGCTAAAGAATAACAACTATCATCTTCAAAGCAATGAACGTCTTCTCTTAAAAGAGGTGTAACCGTCGTAGAAATTAAACTTCCGGCATTAATAGAAAAATAAAACATTGAAAAAAATTTAGCCAATTGTAATTCTTGCTGTGGTAATTTAAATTGATCACCACCAAAAGCTGAAACGCATGGTTTTATGCCACCCGTACCAATTGCGATTAAAAGTAGACCGACCATCGAAAAAGCTACCATTGGAAAATTTAACGGTGGAGCTGCAGACATGGCAAGAACAATGTTTCCTATCGCGTATATGATCGAAACGTAGAAGATGGTATAGAATTTTCCAAGTAAACTGTCGGCGAGCATAGCCCCAAAAATTGGGAAGAAATAAACGAACATCGTGAATGTGTGATAAATGATTTTTGCGTCTGGTTTGCTGAAGAGGAGGATGTCCACCAGATACAAAGTGAGAATTGCTGAAAAAAATTAATACAAAAAATGGTGGCTTTGAGGTGAAATAATGAAATAACTTACTGCGCATTCCATAGTAACTGAACCTTTCACAAAATTCATTGCTGACGATGAAAAATACTGATTTTGGATACGGTAATTTCTGAAACAGACAAAAAACATATATAAAATAAATTTTTAGGAAATTCTAAAGTTTTGGAAATTTATTTTGTAAGCATATATCAGAAATTAGTGAAATAGCAAATGAAAACGCCGACAAAAGTATAGATGAAATCCAAATGCAGATACTAACGCTCCGGAACAATACTTTCGTTCGGTTCCTTATGTATCATATTTAGATTCCATTATATTTTCAATAACAAACCGTTTCGAACACACCATCATACGCTTGGGTATTCTTTTCTTGAACACCCAGAATTTTTAATAACCTCATATAGGAATGAGATTCCAATATTTTTGATGACTAAATTACAAACTGCCGAACAGTTTTATAGACAATCTTTATCAAGAAGCTGACACGCAAATACAATATTGCCAAGGGTGGCAAATTCTAACAAATTTTACATTTTCTTTTCATTCATTTTACTTTTATGACTTTTCTACTAACAATTTGTTCCATTGAAAAAAGTTTTAGCGCATTAACTAAAGTGAGGACATGAGTGCGGTTTAATGACTGAGTGAACTGTATATGCTAAGTGTTAATCGAGAAAACGTCAAGGATAATGCTCAAATTTTGCAAATTACGTCTTAGATATTTTCGCACAAACTCTAAGGAAATTAGTTTTTGCTTTTTCTGATAAGTAAAAATAATAAATTCTCGAGACACCTTACTCCTAGAAAACGTGTTCCCCGGGTGACGAATAGAGGAACTGGAGACAGCATTGCTGTAAATATTCATAATAAGCTGCCGTGGATCAAATGCTAATTATCTCAAGGTAACGGGATCTCTATCGTTTAGTCAATCACACACACAGAGTTTCTGAGTCGGCGATTGAGAATTTTTACGGGAGCCTCGGACATATATGAAAATCAGGCAATGAAAAGGTGAGAAAAAGATTAAAAAAAAAAAAACATGAAAGTTGAAAAAGGAAGAAAATAGTTGCGGAAGTGCACAACTATAGAATAAGATTACTTGGTATCAGCGAAACCAAGAAAAAGAATTCTACTTTAAGAACTATTACCATATGCCTAGAATTGAAAGTAAAAGTAGGACTAATACTGATGTATGGTCCAATGAAGACGCAGATGTAACAGATAAGAAGAAATTTTACGACGATTTGCAAATAACAAAGGAAAACATGCAAAACGAAATGAAACATATGTGTAATGATAACAGGAGGTTAGAATACTCGAACCGGATGAGATGAAGAGGATAGATCTAGAACATTGGGCAAGTTTGGAGGAAAAGAAACAGTAAATAATAATGGCCAAATGATGATAGATAAACATAAATCAAACATAACAGGGGCTGAAATGAGATTCTTAAGAAAGATCGTGGGTAAAACTAAAAAGGATCGAATTAGAATGAAATATAGTGAGTGAAATAGAAAATGACCAGCTGAACTGTTATGAACAGTTAATTAGAATTCCATAAGAAAGAATACTCAGAAAAATGATGGACATAGGAATAATTGGACAACTAAAGACGGGTAGGACTAAGATAAAATGGGAAGATAATGTAGAAGCGATAACACTTTGGGAAAATGATAAAGAAAAAGAAAAAAGTAATCAAAAGTTAACAAAAATTAAAAAATTAACATTAATTTTCTACTTCTTTTTTTTACATTTCATTATTGCGACTCTCTGTTCTTTCGGTTTTTAGATATCATGAATATCTTATGGTGTTGTATCTTAAAAAATCGGACACAATTGCATATTTTGAAGGTATGAATTAATTTGCCTAGGTATTACGTAGTACATTTTGAAAAGATGTAAGGAAAAATACCCCTACTGAAATAATGTCAAAAAACATTTATTTCAATTGTCACGACCTCCGCGTAAAATGACTTGCAACATTCAGATTCTTTATTATATTTCTATTTTACCTTAATACATTTTTATGTTTTTCATTAATATTGCGATCTCGATCTTTTGACAGTCAATTCTGATCGCGTTTTGTTTCTAATTTACTGATTCAGGATTTTTAGAAAGTGTAAATCTCGATTTATTGATACAAATCGATTGAATATCCAAAAGTTGTTGAGACTTTTATTTAAAGTATATGTTTTATAATGATGGTAGTTCCAAGATTTGATGTTAAGATAAATTGTTTAATAAGGTATATAAGATTTTCAACTATTCTACAAGCATAGTACTATGTTCAAAACATGTTGATTACAACATATAATGATGATGTGCATATAATGCTTAGCGGAATGGTCTTAACAGTTTTCACTCATGAGGTGGGCATGGCGTTCATAGGCGATCAAAATTTGGAGCAATCTTTGATCAAGACTGCTCTCATCTCCTCGTCGATCGTCCTCAGTGAGAGTTGAAAACTCCAATTCGCATAAGTAGGTCGTAGCGAATGGTAAGAGAATTGCAATAGCACGCCGTGAAAGCAGTGGATACTCATTTTTATATGCAGCCAAAAATATACTAGCTCCGTTTAGGAAAATTTTAGTTTTAATGTCCGATCTGTTTTTAGCTCCATGAATTCTTCCTGCTCGTTTATCAGTAAGTGTCCAAGGGTAATGTTATCTGAGAATGAATTTCCTACCCAGTCCATAGGTTGCAGGTCACACTTAAGAAAATAACTGTCCATTTTTTCTGCTAATCACTCCAAGTGTTTCACTATCAAAGCCTGCACCTTTTTTCCTGAATCGGCAGCCATGACATTTGGGAACATTTCATTACTACCGTTAGGTAGTGTGGCTGATCTATACTCCAACTTAGCCACGAAAACTTTCAATCTTGTCCGATGACGTTAAAATATTAGAATTCCTGCCTTGCATTTTTTTTGTTGAGCTCATTTAAATCAGCGAATATGTCCGCCAGATATGCGAGTTTTGTTAGCCATTCTTCTTTTTTAAACAGAGATGCAAAATCTGATCCCTGGGTCTCTAAAAACATCTGAGTTTCATTTCTTAGTTCGTAAATCTAAGAAAGCATTTCCGCGAGAAAGCCTTCGTACTTCTGTATGAAACAGAAGTGACTGATAATCTGCTCTCATTTGCGGACACACTGCATTAAATAGACGAGAGTTCAGAGGTCACGACTTTATGTAATTAACAATTTTGACAACTTCTTGTAAGACAGACAACAATTCATTAGGCAGAGATTTCATCATCAGTGCTTCCCTGTGTAAAAAGCAACGTAAACTTTTAGTATTAGGATTATTTTCAGAAGCTCTGGTGCTCCGTCTGTGCAAAAGCTTATGTAGTCTGTGCCATTCCAAATTATCCTCACTGAAGTACTGGTCTGTTACTTGGAATATTTGTTCTCCAGTGGTAGAACCGGGTAGTGGCAGACAAAATGAAAAGTCCTCTTTTATTTCATATTCGTCAGTATACCTCTCATTTGATATGAAATGCGCGTGACCACTGATATCAGTAGACTCGTCAACTTGTAGCGCAAAAATCTACTCAGCCTTAATTTTTCAATTAACGTTTATTCAATGTCGTAATAAATATCATTAATGCGACGTGAGATCGTATCTGCTGATACAGGTATTTTTTCGATTTACTCAGCGGCTTCTTGGCTAATTATAATCTTGACAACTTCTTTGCAGGCCGGTAAAATTAAAGTTTCAGCGAGAGAATGAGGCTTCTTGGATTTAACTAGCATATTAGCGATCACGTAGCTTGCTTTTTGCACTAAGTCTGATGTTTTGAAAGACAAACTCATGAGAGTT